ACTGTCAGTGCTAAAAGGTCAAAAGAACGAGCAAAGGGGAAAAAATTGCCCAGCTCGGCGAACAAGCACAACAATCGTGCCCCCCACTCAATGTGTCTAATGCTCCGGGGACGGTGGCCGGTTATGGCAATCTTGATGATTACCTGCCTGACGATGCACTTCCTGATTTCTTGGAGGTGGACGAACACAGATACGAGTACGGGAAGCCTCTCGTCAAAGATGAAAAATCTCTGACAACAATGATGCAAAGATTCCATAATTGGTACATGGAAACCTGCAGAGAGTCTGAGGGTAAGAATGCTTTGTATCTGCATATTAAAGAGGAGCACGATCTCGTTGCAAATGATCTGTTGACTGTTCCATTTGAGGAGTTCTTCGAGTTTTTCAATCAAAAGGCCCTCGATAAATTAATGGTCTTTTGCTACTGCCTGTAAGTACTATTTCTGTCATTAAGTCTTTATATATAGCTCGGCTCTTTCATTGCATGTATTTATAATTAATTATCCTCAATATATTATGCAGATTGAAGATCGTCGAGTGCAAAAAACAAGAAATTTATGATATTGGGTTCATTAACACAAATATCATAGATGTATTTCTGGTTGAAAAGAACGTCAAAGAGGCTGAGGACAACTTGCTACGATTGTTGATAAAAAATCAAAACAAAGATACCATACTCTTTCCTTACAACGGCAAGTGAGTGTTACTGTCGTATGCATATTCGGTTTCCCTTATTACTCGAGCGAGGTTATAGTAATGTAATTGATGAGTTATGCATGTGTGTGCAGGTACCACTATATTCTTCTGGAGATTAAGCTTGAGCGGGGACTAGTAACCGTCTTAGACTCGAGACGGAAAGATCCCGAAAGCTATGCAGACATGACTGAAATGCTCAACAAGTAAGTTCAATCGATCATTATCGCACCATATTGGCAACTTTTTGTTCATTTCCTGATATCTCAAGTAATAATAATTATTTTCTTTGTCTTGCAGGGTTTGGAAATAGTTCACCGCAGAAGCTCCGGGACTGCCGAAGGAGCTGCGATATACATACCCGAAAGTAAGTACTACTGGCTAGCTAGTTGCGCGCATCTCCCGTTGATTCTATAGCTATACTTTCATCAATGCCATTTATAATGTTTTATTATCACTTTGATTGACCTCTATTTCTCGTAAAGTGCTTGTGGCAGGAGGAAGGCAATGATTTCTGTGGATACTACGTGTGCGAGTTCATCCACACCGCGACTTTGAAAAACAAGCGGGGCTACTCTAAAAGACAATATGAAGTGCGTAAGCAATAATATTCACAATTTCATTTTATTACACCATCATTTCTGTTGAGTTTCATTCATATATATGTATTAATTAACCCCCTTCTTCAAATTAGACGTGGCAGATGCGGAATGAACTCCTAGAACCAGATCGCATGAAAGCAATTCAAGAGGAATCTGCGGGATTCTTTCTGGACCACGTCATCAGTAAAACCGGAGAATACCATGTGGAAATTGATTTCAAATGCTAGGGGTTTGTAATTAAGAGATCTTATACATATTGTACATGTATGTAGCCAGTAGCGTCGGATACATGATACGAAAACTTGTTGTTCGATCAATCTCTCGAAGAAGGAGAGGTCGATCGATCACTTCTCTCGGTATGCATGACGAACTTCTGTACTGAATGGTTCTCTCGATCACTTATGTATATATAGTACGTAGCGTCCAAGCACGGACATAAGAGAGGACACTTCTCTCTATTAATTAGCTAGCTAACACAATATATGAAACACCTAAATTAATCCCCCAAAACCCCCAACCTCCCCTCCTTAAAAAAAAACAAAAACCCCAGTCACTGGAATGCTGACGCATGGATGCCTTTTGGTCCCGGTTGGAGCCACCAACCGGGACCAAAGGCCCCCTGACTGGGCTCGGCGCACAGGGCCACGTGGAGGCACATTGGTCCCGGTTCGTGTTTGAACCGGGACTAATGGGTGGAGGTATTATTAACGACCCATTAGTCCCGATTCATGAACCGGGACTAAAGGCCCTTATGAACCGGGACTATTAGGTGTTTTTCTACTAGTGACATGTTGTCTCTACATACTCAATTGTTTCAGAAATTTATAAAACCATTTTTGTGGTGGTACAACTAGTATAACGATAACATCTAGAAGGGTGATGGCACTAGGTTTTTTTTCTCTCACGCTTCTTTTTGCCCAGCTCAAAAGTAATGGGCGGAAGCGACGAGCCCTACGCCCCTACCCTACTTGGTAACATCTTTGTCATCCTTGAAATTTCTTGAAACATACTAGTCAAGCCATCTCTTACCCCTGTCAAAGGACGGGGCATGGAATATATGGTTTCACACATATTAACGTGGCTCGACATAGTGCTTAGCGCCATGGCAAAAAGCCGCACCATTGTCCCAAACCTCTTCAAGAAATAAATTGAAATATCTTCGCCATTAACACTGCAACAATCCCGAGGAACCACCAACAAAACATCAACGTCTACAGCCCTTTTTTTTTTTTTACTTTTTCGGACAAACATCAACGCCTATAGCCCCTTCTCACTTTCTTCCTCGTGAAAGTGAAATGCAAATTTTGTGGCGCCTTTTGAGGTTTGCGAATGTATGATTGTTATTTTGTGTTTTTTCTTCTTCTTGGAATTCTATTCAGCACCTGCAGATTCCTTCTCGTTGCGTGCTTATCCACGCGACACACGCTCTGCATGCACTGCTAGTGAAAAGTTTAGTTAGTACTACCTCTGTAAGTAAATGTAATACGTTTTTGCAGTTCAAGCCCAGGCTTAAGGAGTAAAGGTCGAAGCGGGCTGGCTCCACCACTGGGTTCCTCAACTCCCTTCATGTTTGAAAAGAAGGCGGATGTTTTTTATTCTGAAACCAAACAATTTAAATTTTGTCTAGGTTTGTAGGGAAAAAAATTGAGGCAGGCCATATATGCCTTTCGCGCTCAAAAGACGACGATAAGGATGCCCGGCCGAAGACCAAAGGACCATGATCGAAGATGAATAGATTGAAAGTTTTTCTGAAAAAAAAAGTGTGGAAGCGCGCGCCAACGTGGGGTGCAGCTTGGTGAATCGGCCTACACCTGACCTGTCAGCCAACTGGACGCACTACAATGCAGAATGAAACAAACAGATTCTTCTTATCGGCTTCACACATGAATGTGTTACTTTTTGTGTCCGTATCAATCAGTTTCCCTGTCTAGACTATCAAGCCATGCACCGTCAGTGTCCCAAGGACGATATTTATGCCTCGTGACTTGACAAAAACGGAGCCTTCCAACTCAAGACACGTATCAAATCGTTGAGATGTCACCTCCTAGATAGGGCTTAACTGCGAACCAACCTATGATTGGATGGTTAGAGCGCCAGTGATATCCCCGGCCCATCAGGGTTCAAGTTCTGGTGCTCGCATTATTCCTGGATTTATTTTAGCATTTTTAGCGATGCACTTTCAGTGAGAGAAGACGTTTTCGTCGATGACGATGCGCCTACAATGACTTCGTAAATTTCAAGATGATATACCGGCCCAGTCTCTCGGAGGTGCTCATAGAGATAGGGTATGCGTGTGTGCGTTCATAGGGGGTGAGTGTATGCGCGTATGCATGTATGAGCGCTTGCATCTGTACTGATGTTCAAAAAAGATAGGGCTTAACTTCTCAAGCAAATATTTTTAGGTGGCTAAAAGGGATCTGAGGGAAGTTTAGCTAGATTGCCCAGTGATGCCTTGTGTGGACGTGTTTCAACATTCATTATTTTTTGGTAATTATTAGCTATGTGCCCGTGCGTTGTCACGGCGGTCGAATATTTTTTAGAACACAATAAGGGGACCATACGGGACAAATCATTTTTTAGGAAAGCGATCATGGCGAGCTTTCTTGATTAGATAAAAGAGTTATATCATTCAGCAAACTCACAAAAATAAAGCTAGGGAGATCATCGTCCCAAACACAAGTTCTAGACATAGCCACATAATTTCTAGCTAGCTCATGCGCCACTACATTGGCCTTCCTATTACAATGTTTCACAAGAACATTATCAAAACCAGCAAGAAGAATATTACAATCCGTGTAAACTGCACTTGCTGATGTAGCCGAGAAACCTCCATCATTAATAGTTTGAACAACTTGAAGACAATCAGTGTGAATTGTGAAAGAGTTCATACAGTGGTTGTCATTCAGTGGTGCTCTTCGAGTATCGGGCCTTGAGTTTCCGGGCTACAAATCCTAGGTCTGGTCATACTTCGTTATACTTGGCAATGCGGTGTTTAGACGCCGATTTCCTTGTTGAAGCCTTTGGTTGGAGATGCTCACACCTGCTCTTCAGGGTTCTAAGTATCTAACCTTTCGTGGTTAGATCTGGTGGCGATAGCGTAGGTATGTCGTTTTTCTTCTTGGAAGCATTGTTTTTGAAGAACCTTTATCATAGTTTGTGTGTTACCAAGGATAGGATAGTGGTAGATGCTGCTGTTGTCGTTTGATTGCTTCGGCAATTCCTTTTGTGCCTAACTTTTTTTTCTTCTTTCTGCACCTAGTCGTAATTTCGGTTTTGTTTGACTTATTAGTTGCCGATGTGATTTGTGTGTGTGTATGTGTTGGTGTTGGAACTATGAGCAGATCTGGTGTGTGCTCGTTGTGTTTGTATCTCCTTGATTCTTTATTTTGAGTTAATAAAATTCATTCTTTATCAAAATAATAAGATAATTCTATTAAAAATAAGATAATTCCATAAAATATGTCTAGTAAGTGTAGCATAGCTGAATTAAACTAAAGCGATCCGTGTGTACTATTTCCTCCAAGCTTCCACCTAGCTAACAGTCTAGCCTGTGCTACTGCTACTGCTATATAACAACAAGCACAGCACTCCATTCTACTCATCGATTGCTCAGCATCCTACACTTTGATTCCATCAAGTTCAAGTGTGTCCAGGTGTTCTTCCATAGATACACTGAAGTGAGTAATAGCATCCTTAGCTACGTGGATGGCTTTAGCGCTCAAGGCGTCCCTCTCGCCGTCTTCCTCGCCTCCGTCGAGCCTCCAGGGAAGCCACGCCAGGGCCGCAGTGGCAGTGGCCACACCGGGGAGGCCTTTCGTCGCCAGGGCACTGGCCGCGGCCTCGGTCGACCCGGCGGTGGTCATGCCGACGGCGAGGAGGCTTGCGGTCAGGGCGCGCGCAGCGGCGACCTTGCTTGCCCCGGCACCGGCCGGTAAGAGCGGCATGTCGGTAGCGAAGGCCATGTCCCAGGCCAGACACAAGGGCAAGGTACGTACATGCAGCGCACCAAGTTTATTTTATTTTTGCACCACGATGCAACGCATGGACCGGCCGATACTTAAGTTTTTTGACTTCACACAGACGGCGTTCATCCCGTACATCACCGCCGGCGATCCCGACCTGGCCACGACGGCGGAGGCGCTCAGGCTCCTCGACACCCTCGGTGCCGACGTCATAGAGGTCGGCATGCCGTTCTCCGACCCCTACGCCGACGGCCCCGTCATCCAGGCATCCGCTGCGCGGGCACTCTCGGCCGGCGTGACAACGGACGCCGTGATGGCGATGCTGAAGGAGGTGACGCCGGAGCTGTCCTGCCCGGTGGTCATCTTCTCTTACTTCAACCCAATCGCGCGGCGGGGAACGGGGAGCTTCACCGCTGCAGCCAGAGAGGCCGGCGTACGAGGTAAACAGTTGTCTTCTTCGTTGACGCAGGTGGTTCTTTATGCAAAAAAAATCGAAACATGCAGCTACTCTATACTCCCCCCTTCCTAAATACTTGTCTTTCTAAAGATTTTAACAAGTGACTACATACGGAACAAAATGAGTGAATCTACACTCTAAAATATGTCTATATACATCCGTATGTGTAGTCCATTTGAAATCTCTAGAAAGACAAATATTTAGAAACGGAGGGAGTATTTTTTTATACAATTTTTTGGGAAGGAATATAGTTTTCAGGTCAATATTCATTATTATAAACTTTGTAACTTCTAAAAATATTATGGAGTTACTAATTCGCTCTTCATGTACTACAGGTCTTATAGTACCTGATCTTCCTTATATTGAGACAAGTGTTCTTAGGAATGAAGCCATAAAGAACGACATCGAGCTGGTATGTCTAATAACACGTGAAACAGTCTTGCTCCCACTTTATATATAAAGGCACAAACGACCAAGCCGATATAAAATGGTGAGTAAACCCTCTTGCAACCAGGTCGAAAGAAAAATAAAAAACATCGGGCTAGTGGCACAAGTCCCCTAACCCAACACCAAGTATGAAAAAGTAGGAGAGGCCACCCCTAGCACACTACAACCAAGAGTACAGAAGTGGCCGGAGCCGTGCTGGCATGAGAAATCACCGTGCCCCGAGAACCTCGTATGCCTAGTAACACCCCCCTAGGTAAAGGCACAAACGACCAAAATGATATAAAGTGTTGAGTAAACCCTCATGCAAGCTGCTAGTCGAAAGAAAAATAAAAGGCACCAAGTGAGTGGCACAAGTGCAGACCACCCCTAACACACTACAATCAAGACCACTGAAGAGGATCGGAGCCATGCCGGCATGAGAAATCAGTGTACCCCGACCCCGAGGACCTCATATGCCTAATAACACCTTGGAGATTTTTTTATCATTGAGATAAGTCAAGGGAAATCATCAAACGGAAAAGTAAAACATAGCAAATAATCAAAATCGTTTTTTGTCATTAAGCATTAACAGTGTAGTTGTACTCCAGGCTGATGAAGTGATGGGTGCAGGTGCTGCTCACAACACCATCTACAAAGGCAGACATGATGAATGAGATCACAATAGCTTCCGAAGGGTTTGTTTACCTTGTAAGTGCCAAGTAGATGTATGGTTAAAATCCAAACTGCTTCGTTGCAATGAACGTCTTAATCACATACTATTACACAGGTAAGTATCAACGGAGTTACAGGAGCCCGCCCAGATGTGAACCCGCGGGTGAAGGATCTTCTCAAGGAGATTAAGCAGGTTTGTAGAAAATAAATGATAAATTGTCCCTTTTTGCAGGAAATGGTAACAATTATTTTCTCTAGTCTAGCTATATTGTGACTGTCCTTCAAGAAGCTTATGTAGTTATGTTTTTGTATATGCAGGTCACTAACAAAGCAGTGGCTGTTGGGTTTGGCATATCGACCCCTGACCATATTAGACAGGTAAAAGGTGTTTTCCCTATATAAAGATTCATTTGTTCTTCTTTTTTCTTCTAAATTTTACTCATTCTTAACTATGCTGCTGTTGCTATTGCCTAACGGTTGCAACTGGATGTATACAGGTTGCACAATGGGGTGCAGATGGAGTGATAATCGGCAGCGCGATGGTAAAGCATTTGGGTGAAGCTGATTCTCCAAGAGAAGGTTTAAAGAGGTTGGAAGTATACGCCAGGAGCCTGAAGGATGCACTCAGTGGCGGGTCCATCATTGGGGCGAGTTAGAGCGACTGCCCCGGTTCTCCAATGTCATGGCAGGGTACATCCCCTGTCTAGTGACCAGTGATGCAGTGCAATCTAGCTCCGTCGTTATCCGCTGCCCTGGCAAACCTCAGTGTCTCTGGGTCCATCACTGGATGCACTTTTCAGGATTATGTAATATGTACTAAGACTACAACTAATAATACGCGTAAAGAAAAGACTAGAACTAATAAATGGGCAAGATTGGCAAATGATAGTCGTGGTAGTAACTTAGGTCTAAATTAGAAAAACGGTTGTACATATGCTCCTCCTCTCTTTTGTCTCGGGACAAAATAATCACATATGATTTGTGCTTATTACTTACAGTGGGGTTTTACCCTACTTCAAAAATTTGTGCTTATTACCATCGGGAGTATTTATCCACTTTATATGCGGTAAAAATAAGGACGCCAATAATGAGCACATGCGAACTTAGCGTGGCTCAGTTTGCTAAGTTTCTTTTGATGGAACCAGTGCACCGGGTATATGTCCTAGATTTGGCACTGGTCCTCGCATTTTTCTGAATTTATTTTAGCCTTTTCGACAATGTTCATTCAGTGGAAGGAGAAGTCCCGTCGACTACAAAGCGCCTATGATAACTCCGTCAATCTCAAAATATGATGCCAGCTCATTATCTCAAAGGTGCTTATAAAAATAAATTTTAAATATGTGCATTCATAGAGATGAGTGTATGTATGTGTATATATATAAACATCCATGATTGTACTGTGTTAAAAGAAACAAGCGCACATTAACGCCAGCATGGAACAACGTTCCTCGCGAAGTTTCATGCACGTGAACAAAGTGAACCTAGGTGAGAGAGCTCCTAGGCGTCAGTTGAGCTAACTGGCGCTCACGCGCAAAAGCTTATGGGCCGGCCAAGCTGCGTTTTGGTTAAATCAGTTGACTGGTGGACCAATGACAGTAACCGATGACAGATTGACCGGTCAACCCTTGAACACAGAGAATTGGTCGTTGACTTTTCAAAAAAAAGAAATTTTTCATAAAGAATATAAAAAAATCAAAAAATTGAAAAAAGTTCATGAAATTTGGATAAAAGTTTGAAACTTTGAGAAAATTTCAAAACTTTGAAAATGTTCATAATTCAAAGAAAATCATGAATTGAGAAAAAAGTTCACAAAATTTGAAATAAAAATTAAAATTGAAAAAATCATAAAATTTGGAGGAAAAGCTTCACACAATTGAGAGGATTTTGAAAAAAGGTTCACAAATTTGAATTTTTTTATGAATTTTATGAAAACAAAAATGGAAAAGAAAAAATGGGTAAAAGAACAATCTTACAAAACTCTAGCAGGAAAAAACCAGGGGAAAACCGCTCAAGAAACATCCTAATGTCGGCAAACCATGAACATGCGTTGCTCATGGGTCGGCCATAAGAAGATTCTACACCGTTTGGTTACATATTTCTTCCACATAAAATCCACGAACGCTCATGAATGGGTCAACCGGCATTCCTGTAATGCAGTTTGGTAAGCAAAGGCCATGAAATATAGACTGCTCATTCCTGGTGTCCAAGGAGACATGGCATTCGATGGTTTAATGGCTCATCAAACGAGTGAAGTTAACCGCGTCATAAGAGCATGGCTAATAGAAGAGCCTGCTGCTGGCTATATAGTTGTGTCATGTCATCTAAAGTCTTTGTAAAAAGTTAGCTTGTATAATAGACTGGCTATTAGCTTGGCTACAACATCAAAGGATTCACCATGAGGGGAGGTACGAAAATACACACGATTGGTGTAGGGAGTAAAACGCCGGCTAAAAGCTCACTCACGGGCTGCATGCAGGCTGTACACTCTCGTTTACTGTGATATAGCCCGGCTGTACGTCAAGCGCCGGCTCGAGTCTCTCTCTTCACTTATCACTGCTCCACGTAGGACTTTGCTGACATGGAATACGCTAGAGCCGGCTGACTAGGTACCACTATACCTGCTCTAAGCTATGTTGGAAAACTGCTGGTTTTATCAAAAAGACCTTTCTAGGATTTCAAACTTGAGGACAAGTTTAGGCTCACATCAGGGGAGTTGTTAGGACCAAACCAGTATTGCTGATTCCAGACCGTTCACGACTAACCAGGCAACCGTTAAGTTCTTCGCAAATCTGTTGAGCATGGCTCAATCCTAGTGTTGGACCCATTAAAAGGACACGGGAAAAACTTTGAAATTCATAGGGCGATACTCTCGGTGAACTGATTGTACCCCAAACCAACATAGGTGAACACAAGTTGCTCTAAGAGGAAGGAGTTGGCTTACTTTTAATTCCTAATACGACACCCCGTATTTATGATTTCTTGGTCTATGATTACATGCATGCGACACCTGGCTCGGTGATGGATGTCCTTGTGAAGGCGCACCCTCGGCAGACTATATAGTGCTTTTTTTTTGCGGGTAAGACTATATAGTGCTACTTGTTACCAGCTCAAAAAATTCGAAAAAGCTGAGTATATAGACACGTCATATATTTACCATCCACCAAATTTACAGTCCAAGATACAAAAAGATAAGCTTCACAGCAAACAGTGTTGAATTCAAGACCCACAATAAATAGTGTTTCATGTAATGTTCATAACCGGACTTGCCTTTTATGTATCATGAATTGTGTATTGAATTTACAGTTGTGCAATATTGTGAGGCGAAAGATACATTTTGTGTCTATATACACAAATGTTTTAGCAATTTATGGAAACATTTTGGTACTGCTACCACATATAGAAGGGTGATAGCACTAGATTTTTCTCTCACGCTCCTTTTTGCCTGGCCTGAAAGTAACGGCCGGAAGCGACGAGCCTTACGCCCCTATCCTACCTGGTACTACTATCTTTGTCATGCTTGAAATTTCTTCGTATAGACAAGTCAAGCCATCGCTTGCCCCTGTCAAAGGACGGTGCATGAAACATATGGGTTGACGCATGTTTACCGTGGCTCAATAGAATGACAAAACAGACATCGCAAAAAAGCGCACCATGATCCCAAACATCTTCAAAGATATATCTCAAAATATCTTCGTCATTAACAGTGTCACAATCCCGAGGAACTGCCAAGAAAACATGCAGATGCGGTTCCATGCGACGATTTGGTCTCAAAATATCTCAAAATAGCACATGCAGATTCCTTCTCGAAACGATGTGTGTTTATTCACGCGACACACATTCTCCACGCACAGCTTTTTTTTCTAAACACAGTACAGACGCAAACACTCATATACACACGCATACACTCACCCCTATGGACGTACACACACACGCCAAAAATCCTGAAATAATCCAGAAATAAATGCGAGCACCAGGACTTGAACCTTGATGGGCCGGGGTTACGCAATCACTATAATCATCCGACCACAAGTTGGTTCGCTCCACGCACTATCAAGGAAAAGGTACACACACGTCAAAAATCCTGAAATAATTCAGAAATAAATGCGAGCACCAGGACTTGAACCTTGATGGGCCGGGGTTACCGCAATCACTATAATCATCCGACCACAAGTTGGTTCGCTCCACGCACTATTAAGGAAAAGTCTATTTACCATTTTGCCTTGCCAAATTTGTAGAGAAACTAGGATGAGGTGTACATGCCTTTCGCGCTCAAGACGAGGATAAGGGATATGGCCGGCCGGAGACCAAGCTTTGGAACGGTTGGCAGCGGGAGCGCGAGCGTGGGTGCATCAGCTTGCACCCGGTCGACCTGTACGTGACAAAAGCAGATGCGATTATCCTCAAAAAAAAAAAAAGCGGATGCGATTGGGCTTCCATGTGTTACATTTTTGTGTCTGGACCTATCAGTTTCCCTGTCGAGACTAGTCAAGCCATGCACCAGCTTGCTAACCGTCAGTGTCCCAAGGACGATGTGCCTCGTGACATGACAAAAATGGACCCTTCCAACTCAAGACATATATCTTTGCCATTAAATATCTTCTTTTTCTAGGGAGAAACCCAAGACATATATCTTTGCCATTAAATATCTTGTATGTACGTTTTCACGGAGGAAAGCTAGCATAGAATCTCTCAATGAGATCGGGTTTTCTTGTAAAATACTCCCAAGCATTCTACAAAATTTCTCCAAACATTTGCAAACACACATCATACAAGGATATGAAATTACATGTGAGACCTTCACAATCAGCAACTTCTTTGTTCTACTCCCTCCGTTCCCAAATATAAGTCTTTTTAAATATTTCAATAAGGGACTACATACGAAAAAAAATGAGTGAATCTATACTCTAAAATATGTCTGCATACATCCGTATGTTATAGTCTATTTGAAATGGCTAGAAAGACTTATATTTAGAAACGGAGAGAGTACATGCATGGGCGACGCGTCATAAGCATAGCTTGTTGCCGCCTTTGGACCTTTATCTTGCTGGAGCAACCTTGTTCAAAGACAAAAGCTTGTAAAAACTGTTGTTGGAAAAATCGGTAACGTAGACCAGAAGACGCCGGCCACGGCGATCTGGATACGTTGCCGTTCCAAAGAAGTTGGAACCAGGGCAACTCCAACGCGAACATCACCAAATGTCCAGGAACACATCTGAACATGTCGCTTACATCGAGATTGTGGGTTAGGCTGGTCACAATGGGCAAGAACATAAACTAGTAACTTCACACTTTCCTAGACTATGTTACTACCTCTATAGTGGGTAGGAACATCTATGTAGTGTCATGCAACGATGTATTTATTAGGTTATAGACTCATTGTTTCTTGGAGTGTGTGATGTTCCGGTAACTTAGCTAGTTACCACAAGCACCTCTCTCTTCATTAAATACGTGCCACATAAGCAAAGTTGTATTGGAGTGTGTGATGTTACTCCTAAGTTCCTCCCCACTGTGACCAGCCTTATGGTTGATAATGGGTCAGGCAGACTGAGAGGGAAAAAGAGACGAGTAGGACACATATGACTATGAAGACATGTGGTCCAACTCACAGTGGTTGGGCCAATGGCGAAGCTAGCAGCGGGTTACACCTAGGGCTGAG